CCCCCCGCCCTCCCTCCCTCAGCATCTCTGGGCAGCCTATCCCTTGTCCCCTGCCCTGCCACAGGGCCAGCAGCTGCCCCTCTCCTTCCCCCTGTTTAAGGAGAGGCTGGTGCCTTCCTCTGCCTCATCTCATGCCCATCCCCTACAGCCCTGAGGTGTCTCTGAGCTTTCCTTTCTCCCCCCACTCCCTGAACGCCCGCTGCCGAGCTCTCAGCGCTGCCCTTTCTCTGCAGGTGCGAGCTGCCTTGGAGAAGACCGGGAGCCCGAAGGGGATGGGAGAACCACGAGCGGCGCTCACTGCTAAGGTGATCGTCCGCTTTGCATACGCTGCGGTGCAGGAGCCCAACCAGCCGGGTTTGGACCCCCCCAGCTGTTGGTGGTCACGTCAGGTTTGAATCGGTGATGTTAGCGTTTCTTCCTGCTCGAAAAACGGTCTGCTGTTTGGCTCAGAAAGGTCAACGACTTCAAAAGCAGCTCAGGGAAATGCACTTGCTCCCCTCCCTCTCTGCCTTATTCTGCACTTTGCGTTATCACTTGCTGCGTATAACGCCCCGCAGGTTATTCCTTGTGGTCTGTGGCATCCAGGCCTTTTTGTGGCCTCCCCCTTTAGGGATTTCATAAATGACTCGCTACTGGTTCTTTGGTGCATCTCCATATTCGAAGTAAAATTTGAGAAATCGCTTTCCTTTGCTCGACTTCCCGCATAGATGTGCCAAAGGCTTTGTCCACGATAACAGCAGCGATTCCAAAAACCATAACTGGACTAGGCCAGAGTAGCTGCATTCGTTTATTTATAGCTGTATCTAATTTTTTATTTATGCCAAATTTGCATGCGCACAGTGTGTTGCGACTCGCTTGTGAAAACTGAAAAACGGTTAATGAACGGTCTGTTTAGAAATGCAAACCTCCGTGTGTTAGCCCATGCAGATTTTATCACCGAAGGATCAAATATTGTTTGTTCGTCACAACGCAAGGTTACCTATTTTTATGCAAAATGCAAAAATATTTTGTTGCCAACAAATCACAGATTTAGGTAAAATAGAGGATGACAGTGGAAATAGGTAAGATTGCTTTAATCTGTGGGAAGGAGGTAGGTTAAAATTTTGACCTACCAGAAATAGTATCTGCTTAAACACGTCATCATCATTTGCATTACTTCTGATGGCGTAAGACATCCCAACATAGACCTGGTTACAGTAGAGCCATCTCAGATATGAAGTATTCCCATTGTTGGTTTGTCTGTTAGTTTCTACAGTGCATTAATAGTATGTGGGACTTCATGGACAAAGAATGACATCCCTGCCTCAATTTACTTCTAATGTAAATAAAGAAGTTGTTTTGTGATTTGATGACTGGATAGCTATAAAGGTTAGGGGAAGAGTAGGGAAAGGGTGTGTTATAGCAACTAGATTGTGTAGTTGCTTTGGTCAGCAGTGTTTTTCTTGAGAATTCATGACTTTTAAGTAAATGCTGCTACGCTTGGGGCCTGGCTAAGGTTTGTTGGCTTCCTGAAATGAGAAAATGTGCCTTAAAGAGTGGGGAAGAGAGGACTGTAAAGAAGGTAAAGAAGCAAGTTTATCATGAAAGATGAGGGAGAGAATAAGATGATGTTGATCAGTCTTCAAGGCCAGACCAGGTACCTTTTGAAAATTTGAAGACGACAGGTGGAAAGAATCTCGTGTGTTGTGGCCCTCTTAGGATGGAGTTCTTATTTGTGACAATGTCAGTGTAATTGAACCCACTTCAAGAGCTGTGGTTGAAAAGGTAGATGAGTCCAGACTTTTTTGCAATTTTCGAAAAATGTACTTTGTTATCTATGTTCTAAAATAATGCTAACAAGACAGCTGCTAATGAAGTCTGTGCCAGAATTGTTTTGAGTGCTGTCTGCAGAGGAGGCGCTAGGCAGCACTTGTTGGTAACAACCTTGGTCAGCAATTGGCCATTTTCCTAGTGCAGATGGATTTCTTAGTGTATGGTCAAAGGTAATAGTTATATTTCAATAGCTAAAGAGAGAACTCCCCACTTACTTTTACAAATTTGTTTTCTAAATTTACAGTGAGGCAGTATAGGCACGTCATGTATTGTTTATAGTGTACTATTAAAACAGTACACTTACTGCCGTGGAAAATGGTGACTGGATGTATTCACTGTGCCCCAGGACCTGTCTGCATGAGGGATCGTTGTATTCATATGGCTACACTAGTTAAAAGCCCAAAATAGATGTACTGCTTCAGTTACAAATCAGAGCAAGACGCATTTAAAAGACTTGCTTTAAATCCCATGCAAGGGAAGTGAACACTCAGTGCTGCACTCTGGAGGGAGTGCAGTACATTACAGGTATAGATCTTTCCTAGACAGAAGGGACTCCCAGTTTTACAGCGTTATTTGTACTTTGACTTGGGTTTTTTCTGTTTGCTTTGTAGTTATAGAAAAGCATCTTTCGCTTCTGATGGACTGTAAACCTTTTAAGAACTTCCTGACTGAGAGATTGTGGTATCAGCTTGCAGAATGGCATTATCAAAGTGAAAAACTGCTTTGATACATAAAGTTATACTGTTTCCACTCAGGACACACTAAAATAAGAGCAAGAACAAATAGAAAAACATTACTTAATATATTTAGATGGAATCAATTATGTGAATATAGCTAATCGTTATTCGGCCTCATCAGCTAAGGGAGAATTTTTTAATTCAACTTGAAGCATCCAGTTCTTCTGCTTTCTTGACTCTTAATGTCACTGTTCAGACAGTTCAATGATAGTAAGTGATACAGTCATGTTGGTTCCACTGGAAATGACAAGAAACTTAAATTTGATTATGAACTCTGAGACAGTCATACTCATGCACAATTTCCATACCAATAATTTTCCTTGTTTAAGTAGTAGGTCAAAATAATCTGTGTAACCTTATTTGGCCAACATAATACTTCTGTTAAATAAATAAGAAGTGTATTCATGAAACCACTTGAGGACCATCTCCACTGGATGTCCCCAGCACCTTGATTTGTGGCATACTTGAAAATGGTCAGTGGGGGTCTGCCTGGAGCGGTTTGACAGATACAGGCAGGAGCAGACGGGCAGGGAGTGCTCAGGACCAGTCTGGCAGGGTTATGTTGCTGCTATAGTGCAGATGTTCCCTCTGCAAGCCAGGTTCACCCTACAGACTCTCGTGGCAGGCCTGAGGGACGGGTGTTGCAGCTTCAGAAAGCTGTTATGACGTCCCTTGCACCAAATGAACTGGAAGGGCCCAGTGCAGTCCCAAACTAACTGGCTGGAAAGAGTTTATAGTGTATGACTTCCCTCAGTGTTTCTACTAATGGACTTCCCATCAGTGCTGATGACTTCTCTCAGGAGCTATGAGGGAAGTTAGCAAAAGGGGAGTTTCCTCCAGCTCTTCCCCGGCATGAGGGTATAATTTACTAATTCCTCCATAAATTAATCCTTAAGGCTCTTTTGAGATCTAGATAAATATATAGGTTTTGCTGAACTCGCCATTGAAATGCAGACACCTGTAGAGGGGAATAGCACAACAGCTGCTCAAGACTGTGTAGCAACACTCTGCCGCAGTTTAAGGGGAGGAAATGAAGAACACCATAGCCAATTAAAATTGCTGGGGAAATTTAAACAAGCAGAAAGTAATTAAAGGAGCTGGAATTTGTCAGGGCTGTGGTATGGCAGTAGCTCTGTTTCTTGTGAGAAGTATTATGAGATCTTTAGTAACCTCCTGTGAGGATCTAGGGTTTTTCCTTGTCTTTGCTTTGAAAGACAGCAGTAAAGTGCTCCTAATCATATCTTGATGGATTTTTTTCACTGTTCCTTGGGAACTATGCAAATAGATCACCAAGAAATATCTCCTTTCCAAGTACTTGACTGTCACCAGGCTTGTAATCCAACTGGATCTTAGCACAGATTAACTGCCATAAGGTACAAGTAGGATTATAATGTGTTGTCATCTCCTTCTTTGCACCTCTGAAAATGGGGCCTGTTATTATGGCCATTGTAAGTGGCTGACATTTGCTGGCTCACTCAGTAATGATAAAAATGGGTCCTGAGAAGAGACTGTTGGACACACCTGCCACTATTTTCTGTTTTTTCTTTTTAAAGGGTTGTGGGATAGTTAACTACCTCAGTTTAATATGCCATGTAGATGTACTTGGTGTCACATACAACAATATGACTTCCTTCTTGTTGGCAATTTAAATGCCAAGTGCTCTACTACATGTCGTGAGCAGAAGATGGTGCGTGTCCCAGAGATGAGCACTATCTGTTAGGTCATCTACTGCTTGAGATGCTCTTTATTACTAAACCATTGCTATTTGACCTTACTTCCAGCACCAATTTTTAACTTCCTGTAAGAGGAAAACACAAAAATTGTGTTTAGGTTTATTCCTTGTTTAATGAAGAAACACCTTTGTGTAGAAAATTGTCAGATCACTTTGACCATGTGAGCCAGACGTTGGTGGATAATCAAGTCAAGCATGCTACATTTAGGTTACTGTTCTATTTCTGGTATAATCTGCTAGTCTCTGTACTGTATCTTAATCAACTTTTTAAAATCCTTTCTAGCAGGTGAACTTAAGTTATCATATTCAGTGACAGTACTGTTCATTAAAGTTACAGATCATTCTTTTGCCATATGCAGCTTATATTCCTTTGAGGGGAGTGGGGGAAGGAAGGAGCTTGTTACTTTTTTAGTGGAGCAAGCTGTTACTTCGTCTCTAGTCTGTGAAGTCAGTGCAGTTCTGATTTGCATCAGCTAATAAAAAATGTGTGGGTTTTTAAGTGAAAATCATGCAAAAATAAAAGTGAACTAATGACTGATCATTTATGCAAAAACAAGTCTAGAAATGTGATCAAATTAGGTCATGGCAGTGTAATTTTGTACAGGCCTATGATCATCTTGCTGGTCTTTTTCGTCTTGAAATGCAAAAATATAGCAAACGGTTTAGGTGCATGTTCCCTTAACTACCTTTAGGAAGTAAGGAAAGCAAATTATCTTGTTGTGTTAAACTTTCTGCTGCCTAGTGGACGTTTCTTGTAACTTTTTCTTTGATTAGCATGGTTCAATAGCACGAGACAGGTCATATTTAAAAATAACTATGATCTTCAATATAGTGAACCAATGCAGGCTTTCATTATTTATGTGAATTACCATAGTGCCTAGGAGGCCCAGTCACTGAACAGCACCCCATTGTGCTGCACACTGTACAAACAGAACAAAAAAAATGGTTCTGTCCCAAGGAGTTTACAGTCTTAAGTAGAAGAGAAGGACAACAGATGGATGAAAGCAGATGGAGGAGTACAAGGAAACAATGAAAATATTGGTCAGCATGGTAGGCAGTGCCTTAAGCACACTGGTCATTGTCAGGGCTTTTTTTACAGGCATCATTGAAAATGTGAATTTTCAAAGAGACCACTGCGCTAGTTGCAGATATTTATAGGGAGTTCCTCTCAAGTGTGTGGAGCAACCTGGGGAAAATCTCAGAGGGGCTTAAGGTAGGCAATAGAGGCTAGCATCATGAACTGATCTGAGGCAGAAGTTGGATAGTGAATGGGGAGGCTGTTAAAGGCTTTAAAAATGAACGTGAGTAGGTAGGTTAGAGAAGTCAGGCTATGGAGGGCTACAAAGAAGGTTATGTAGGAAAAATGGGCTATAAAATGATTTTTCTGGCAGCTTTTTGCATAGGGAACAAATACATTTGTCAAGCTGGAAACAAATATGCTGTAGTAATCAGGATGTGGGATGATGAGAGTTTAGCTCTGTGGATAAATAGGAAATACTGCCTCATAGAAATGTTACGCAGAAAGAATCTGCATTATGTAGATGTGTCTGGATGTCAGGGTATGAGGACTGAAGGAAAGAAGATGCCTTGGTTAGAGGTGTAAATATTGTCCACATAGGTAAATCAAAGAAGTGTTGCAGGCCATGTGGGGAATTGGACTGTTTTTTTAGCCATATTGAAACTGATGTGAGAATCTTCCTTCTATCAGCAAGGAAAGATAGACATCCATGAGGGGATGTTGCATAAATTAGGTTGAATCTCATTTGGATGGGGGCAGATCGGGAGTAAGTGGCAGATCCAATAATCTTCTGCATAAAATCAGTGATTCTGTTTGTGTTTACAAATAAGACTACTACTTTCCCCGAAAGTAAAGTGGGAAGGGAGCCCAGGCTAGTATCCCGCGGACGCCACAGAAATTGATGGGGTGGGGAGGGAAGAGACAAGGAAGAACTTCTGAAGAACTAACAATTAGAGAGGCCAGAAGAAAACTGAGAGGACCAAGTCATGGAAACGGAGAGAACAACATTTGAAGAAGAGCATGATCAGTCTTGTCAAAGGCAGATAGTGGATCAAGGAGGACAAGGGTGGAGGGCTAACTCTGAGTTTTGGAGGGGAGAAGGCCTTTAGAGATGGATGGGAGTGGTTTTTGGTACACTGCAAAAAACACAAGGCAGTTTGGGGAAGGTCTCCGATGGAACTGGAAGAGAGGAACTGAGACAGTAATTGTAAATAGCATGTTCAGTGATCTTTGAAAGAGAAGGGAGATGGGCAGTACTTGAAGAAGCAGGTAAAGACTTTTGAAATGACAAAAGTTACGCATGAAGGGAAAAAGCCAGAGGAGAGTGAAGGTACATCTACATTGGCATGCATGTAATATTGTGTGGGGACTGTCAGGCTGGTTCTAAACCTTGGCGACTGGAAGCGGTATAGCTGCTCGCTGTCCACTAGCATGCCATGTTTCTCATTTCTAATTCCTCCAGGTAGCCTAGAGAGATTAATATGTAAATGTTAGTGTTTAAGGAATTTCCATTTCTTTTACATCTTCTTACTTGCTCCCTTCATAGATTCTTTTTCTCCGAGCCACACAAGTGATAAGTAATGGAGGAGACTGAGAGACAAGATGGAGTTATTGGGGCAACGGGGGAGGATTGAAGGAGAGTAGATAAGCTCCTGAATCTGTGACAGAATGGTGGGGAAGAGGAGAGAAAGTTGCAGGATGGGAAAGGAAAGTGAGGTGAAGTGACCATTGGTCAAATATTTCCTTAAAAGAAATTGCAGAGATGATTTGTAAATCAAAAAATGAAAGGAGGTAGATGAGATGGCTTGAGTGAGTTAAAAGTGGTGAACAGCAGCTGGGATTGGGGTGGGGGATTCAAATACCTTCTCTAGTAAGGAAGATGGCAGAACTGAAAGTGGAAAGAGGACTTTCTGATGAGAGATGCCCTCAACACGCTCTTTCTTCTACCCGTTTCAGTGGAAGAGGTAAGAAGCCATCAGTGCTGAAGAACTAGAAAGCATGGCAAGGTTAGGTGATAGGACATAAGGGAAGAGCTAGTAAACAATGCTGGAAGATGCTGGTGATGGCTTGAAAGGGGAGGTACTCAGTAGCAAAATTAGAAAAAAGATCCATGCTCAGTGAAGATTGTCTGGTGAATGCCCTTTGTGTGAGCATTGGAGCCTATAGCATTTCCACAGTGAGTTTCTTGATTTTTTTTTTTTTTTTTTTTTTTTTTTTTTTTT